AAAAAAAAAAATGCCTGCATGTCCTGACAGTTCTGTGAGAGAAAGTGCTGACATAATACCGTGGTGTTTGCTCTTGCAGGTACAAGCAAGTGGTGACCACTCGGAGAGCAGGTCTGGCAGTGGTGATATGCTGGACAGTGGCTTTTATTGTGGGGCTCACACCCATGTTAGGATGGAACAACCTGAGTCACCTGCAGCAGAACAGTTCCATCAGCTCTGACCTCGTTATCACCTGCCAGTTTGAAAACGTCATCAGCATGGACTACATGGTGTATTTCAACTTTTTTGGCTGGGTGCTGCCACCGCTGCTTCTCATGCTGGGTATCTATGCAGAGATCTTCTATATGATCCACAAGCAACTTAACAATAAGAAGTTCACTACCAGTCACACTGACCCCAACAAGTACTATGACAAGGAGTTGAATCTTGCTAAATCTCTGGCTCTGGTCCTTTTTCTCTTTGCCATCTGCTGGCTCCCCCTCCACATCTTCAACTGCATCACACTCTTCTGCCCTGAGTGCCAGAAGCCCATAGTCCTCCTACCCATTGCCATCTCTCTCACCCACGGTAACTCTGCTGTCAACCCAATAGTCTACGCTTTCCGCATTAAGAGGTTCCGAACAGCCTTTCGGAAAATCTGGCAGCAGTATTTCTGCTGCAAGGACACACCACCTCTGGAAATTCAGCACAGCGACAGGAAAGTGATGCCCAATCCAGAGTCACAGCAGGCAGCATCTCCACAGGCCCCTCAGAAGAAAATCATCACACCTGATCCAACGGGACAGCAGCCACCCTCACCTGAGCAGCAGCAAGACCAGAGGCCTGAACCACCACAGTAATCTGAAGAATGTACATCCTTAATGGAACACAATGCAGTCTAGGCCAAGGCACAGAGCTGATTCTTGGCTGGGACAGTAATGCTTGAGCACCGGCTCTGTCCTCATTTGAATCTAGTTTAATGAGGAGCATGAAGTGCTATGGTGCTGGAGGAACTCGGACAATTTATGGATCCTAAAAACTGGAGGGTCATTTATTTTTACTCAGGAGTAAAGGATTTACTAAAAATCTGATCACAGTGGAAAAAAAAGACAAAATGGTATCTATAAACCTAAATAACAGAAGTCTTTTTATAATGACCAAGTGTTTATCTTAGTAAGAGACTGAAGGCATTAAGCTTTAACTGCTTTGTTCATTATGGTGAAACAGTTAGTGTGAACATGACCAATTGTGCAATATAAGTTATTGTGGTTGGTCAGTATCTGATTATCATATGTTATAACTTGCTACAGAATGAAAGTCGATATGTTCATTAGAGGGGGTTTGTCTTACTGCTGTAATACTGTGTGTATGTTTAAACTGACAGTGGCTGAAGAACATGAATGTAATAATGTCAGAGGGAGACTCTAACAGCCCAGCTGTTCTCTTTTTTAGGGTATTAGTTGCATGACAGTGGTAGAGAAAGTGGAACAATGGGGAAACATTTTGCAGCAAGGAGATATATATGTGCTGAAACAAAGGTTTGCAAGCCCTTACTGTAACTGGAGATGAGTACCTCAGTGTTCCAGCAGCGCTGTGTTAATCCAGAC